CCGACATCAAATCATGATAACGGTAGCCAGACCTACCCTCACATCCTCGACTCACATCCAGAGCTTTCTTTTGGCTTTCGACTCTTCTTCAATAAAACTATGCAGTTTCCTCTTGAAGTATATAATTAAAACGACAAGTTCAAAAGATAGCAATCTAACAAGTTTGTAGTAATATGTTTACACTGTCAGTTCCACTGTTTCCAACAGATAAATCTAGCTTTTTGTCATTATTAAAATCACCAGCGATCACAGAGAAGGGCAAGGAACCGTAGCCAGTCCCAATCACGATTTGATTATCAAACTGACCACTACCATATCCAAGAAACAGGCCAATGGTGTTAACACCCTCATTAGCGACCACAATGTCCAGTATGTTATCGTTGTTGAAATCATCAACAGCCACGGAGTATGGATGAGAACCATAGCCAGTTGAAAGAATTGTTTGATTCATAAAAGATCCATTTCCATATCCAAGAAAAACTCCCACATTATCTGTGCCATAATTAGCGACGACAATGTCCACCACACTATCGTTGTTAAAATCTCCAACAGCAATAGAGTACGGAGACGATGAAGAGCCAGTTGAATAATTCATTTGATCTGCAAAAGAGATATTACCATATCCAAGGAAAATACTGATCATGTCAGTCCCTGAAAGAGCAACAACTATGTCCATTTGCTCATCATTGTTGATATCGGCAACGACAAATGATCGCGGTTGAGAATTACTGCCAGTAGCGAGTGTCATTTGTTCAAGAAAAACATTATCAGCGTATCCAAGAAGTACACCTACATTGTTGCTCCAGTAATTCGCGACGATGATATCCAGCCGAGTGTCGTGGTTGAAATCATTCATAACTACAGAGACTGGCCGAGAGCCAGTGGAAAAAGTCGTTTGATCTGCAAAACTCCCATTACCATATCCGAGTAGTATACCCACATTGTTGCTCTGGTGATTAGTGGTGACGACATCCAGTCGACTATCTTTGTTGAAATCATTAACAGCTACAGATGCTGGGCCAGCGTCAGTGGCATAGGTCGTTTGATCTGTAAAGCTGCCATTGCCATATCCAAGAAGGATACTTATAGTGTTACTATCATAATTAGCAACGACGATATCCATATGAGTGTCATTGTTGAAATCACCAACAGCTACATAGATTGGACCAGAACCAGTGGAATAGGTTTTTTGATCTGCAAAGCTCCCATTACCATATCCGAGAAGTATACCTACATTATTGCTGTCTGCATTAGCGACAACGATATCCAGTCGACCATCCTTATTGAAATCATCAACAGCTATAGATGTTGGGCCAGCGCCGGCAGCATAGGTAATTTGATCTGTAAAGCTGCCATTGCCATATCCAAGAAGCACACTTACACTGTCGCTCTTGTAATTAGTAGTAACGATGTCAAGTCGAGCATCGTTGTTGAAGTCAGCAACAGCTGCAGATCCTGGACCAGCATCAGTAGCATACATTTTTTGATTTGCAAAGGTACCGTTCCCATATCCGAGTAATAGACTTACACTGTTATCGTATTCATTAGCAACGACGATATCTATTTGAGTGTCGTTGTTGAAATCACCCACAGCTATAGATATTGGACCAGAACCAGTGGAATAGGTCGTTTGATTTTTAAAGGTGCCATTGCCATATCCGAGAAGCACACTTACAGTTTGACTATTGTGATTAGCGACAACGATATCCATATGAGTGTCGTTGTTGAAATCACCAACAGCTACAGCGATTGGATAAGAGCCGGTAGAATATGTGATTTGATTTGTTAACGATCCGACGTCATATGCAATAAGTATATGGACGACGTCACTACCATCGTGGGCAACCATAATTTCTGATCGTCCATCATTGTTCAAATCACCAACTGCAAGAACAAAGGGAGCAGAAGGAAAACGAGTTCCAACACTGGTTTGTGCCGTAAATGTTCCGTTGTCATTTCCAAGAAGCATACCTACACTTTTACTATTATAATTGGCTACAGCAATATCCAAATGAGTGTCATTGTTGAAGTCATCCACAGCTACAAAGTTCGGACCCGAGTCAGTTGAATACGTCACTTGATTTGCAAAAGTACCGTCCCCTTTACCAAGAAGAATGCCTATTGTTTTACTGCCGTAATTAGCAATCACCATATCCAAGTTTTTGTCGTTATTCATATCACGAACAGCAAGACACCGTAAGTCGGAACCACTACCAGCTACAAACGTCTTTGCATTTCCGAGACCTATGATAGTCTCTTGAAGCATTACACCTACATTTTGTTCCCCTGTATTAGCGACAACGATATCCATTCGAGTATCATTATTGAGATCACTAACAACTACAGACAGTGGACCAGAACTAGTGGAATAAGTTGTTATATTTGAAAAAGTGCCATTGCCATATCCGAGAAGAACACTTACATTGTTGCTTCCTGAATTAGCAACAACGATATCTAGTCGAATGTCGTTGTTAAAGTCACTAACAGCTACAGACCATGGCTCAGTGCCAGCAGGATAAGTTATTTGATCTGCAAAGCTGCCATTACCATATCCAACAAGTACACTTATAGTGCTACTAACACGATTAGCAACGACAATATCCATTTGAGTGTCATTGTTGAAGTCGCCAACAGCTACAAAACGTGGCTCAGAGCCAGTTGAATAGGTTATTTGATGTGCAAAGCTTCCATTACCATATCCAAGAAGCACACTTACACTGTCGCTCTTGTAATTAGTGGTAACGATGTCAAGTCGAGCATCGTTGTTGAAGTCAGCAACAGCGACAGATCCTGGACCAGCATCAGTAGCATACATTTTTTGATTTGCAAAGGTACCGTTCCCATATCCGAGTAGTACACTTACGGTGTTGCTGTTTTCATTAGCGACAACGATATCCATAAGAGTGTCATTGTTGAAATCTGCCACAGCTACCCACCGTGGAAAAAGGCCAGAAGAATAAGTTGTTTGACTTGCAAAGCTGCCGTTACCATATCCGAGAAATATACTTAAATTGTCGCTTGCTGAATTGGCGACAACGATATCTAGTCGAGCGTCATTGTTAAAGTCACTAACAGCTACAGACAATGGGTCAAAATTAGTAGAATAAGTTGTTTGATTTGTAAAACTACCGTTCCCATAACCAAGAAGTATACCTATAGTGTAATTGTCACGATTGGCCACGACGATATCTATATAAGTGTCGTTGTTGAAATCGCCCATAGCTACAGAGCGTGGGGCTTCACCAGTGACATAGGTCACTTGGTTTTGAAAGAGCTTGTAATAACCAAGACGTACGTCTATGCTTTTCGTATCATCGTTGACAACAGTAATATCTAGTAGATTGTCCTTGTTGAAATCGCCTATAGCAACTGAAACGGAGGACAAAGATCCGCTTGAATACATTGTTGGCATTCGAAATGTGCCGTTACCATATCCAAGAAAAACACCTGTATTATTAGTGCCTCTATTACTGACGACTATGTCGAGTCGGTTGTCTTTGTTGAAGTCAGCAACACTGATGGCGTATGGAGAAGCAGGACTTATCGAATACGTTGTTTGTTTTGCGAACGTTCCATTTCCATTGCCAAGAAGTATACCTATGTTTTTAGTACCATAATTAGCGACAGCGATATCTAGGAGAGTATCGTTGTTGAAATCACCAACAGCAATCGAATAAGGATGAGATCCACTGCCAGTTGAATATATAGTCTGATTACCAAAAATTCCCTTGTTGTTGCAGAGAAATACTCCTATATTGTCTGTTCCAGTATTGGCAACGACCAGATCCATTTGATTGTCATTGTTGAAATCTCCACCGATGACTGCAGACGGTAGGGAATCATAGCCTGTCGAATGCGTGATTGGTTTTGAGAAGTTTTCGTTTCCAAGCCCATACAATATGCTGACACTCTGGGTGCCATAGTTGGCAGTGACAATATCACATATGCTGTCATTATTAAAATCAGCTAAGTGGATCCAACATGGACGAGATAAATCAGTGGAAATCGATGTTTGAGTGACGAAAGATCCATTTCCTAGACCAAAAAATATTTTGACACTGTTGATGCCGAAATTTGCCACGGCGATATCTAGTCGATGATCATTGTTGATATTAGCAACTGCGACCGAATATGGTTGTGAACCAATGCCAGTTGAATGTGTCGCCTTATGTTCAAAAGTCCCTCTATCATCTCCAAAATATATTTCTATGTTGTTAGCCTCAGAATTTGCGACGACAATATCTAGCCATGTATCGCTATTGAAATCCCCAACAGCAATAGATCGTAGACGACCTTCACCGTAATCAACCGGATTTGTTTCCGTCTTTTTAAAGTTTAGCTTACACTTTTGAACTAAAAGATACATGAAAAACAATGTGAAGAATGATTGCGTGTGTGTGTGACTGTTCATTCAGAGAAGATTCACATCCACATCCACTCCCTTCTGTATATGATTCAATTATACATAAAAATAAAATGTGGTTTCTATTAGAAATGGACGAAACAAAACATATAGGATATCTTTCGTTATTTGACTAACGGGACAATTCATTCAACTGATAACCTTCGTTTGAGTTCATATTTTGCTCATCGATAGGACATATATAGAGCACATAAAAACCCTTAAAGGGATCCGTACCATTGTCGTTTTATTTCAGGGAAACATGGATAAAAGATTTGTTTAGAAATGGTATCATTATATTTTTTTTTAAATAAATCTTGTGTCTTTAGTGTTTCGATGAAGAAATACTTTTATAAGATAAAAAATTTTTACAAACACATCTCATATAATAATTCCTTGCTGTAGAAATATCAATCATATTTGAGATAATCTTCTACAAATAGAGAAGAGGAATTCTTTGACCCATCATTTTTCTTATTTCAGCAGAATGTATTAGCGAAGAAGAGAACAATGATAACCGAAAATGACGATCTGTAATAGAAAATATATGTGACATTGAATCTATTCTAAGGACAATGAATGTTCATCGATAGTTTTTGAGTAACAGTTGTGCAACTATTTATCTCTGCTCTTTTCTATACAGGCAGCGATAAATGATTCCTATCAATTTGTTCAATCACAAATAATGATAAATATTCTTCTCAGATTTTTGGTTACAAATCTTCTATTACATCTAATTTTATTTATAGGATAATTTGTCTGATGTCAGGTTCAATAATACTTTTAAGATATTGTAAGAATTACTCATTTTCATTATTCTCACTATCTTGTGAAGATAGTCGATCAATAGCAAGATATGAGTCAGATAGAAGTATTATTTTATGATGTATGTACAAAATTTCACTGTTTCGAAGCGTAGTAACGAAAATTATTTACAAGAATGTAATAAAGAAATGAAAACTCACTGGAGAATATGACATACAACACACATGAGTCATATAGAAAAACAAAAAAAAAACAACTATATCAGAACATATTAGCATCATGAAAGAAGATACAGATAGAATATATATACTGCTTACTCTCCTCTACAGGCAACATAAAGTGAGAAAATGGAAAGAAGATGTGCTCAGTGAAGAAGAAATATTTACTTTTGTCACATTTTATGAGAAATTTACTAGCATTTTCTCTTATTCTTTTGTATTTCAATTATATCCAAGAACATATCGATGAAATAGAGAAAAATAAATCTATGATAAGCTGCTATTTTCATTCAGAGATATGAAAAATTATCACTCAAAATGATGGAAGAAGCGATTTAAGAATATCAAATAAGATAAAATTGATCTTTCTGCAACAAGTAACAATGTGTTACACCAGTTTGTAAAAAACAATCAGATCGTGAAATTGTTGTTTTATTAAGATATGAAAAATTAATTTATAGAAAATGCAATAATCTTCATCCTAGAGAAACTTATTATCCTTGTTTCTCTAAAATAATTTTTGGACAAAATATCAGATCTACTGGTGATGGTCATCTTGATTGATTTGCGTCCTTCAGCGCTAATTTGAAATGGAAACGTGAAGTAGTTGTAATGTTTTATAATTCTATCCTCGTTTGATGATTTCCTTCGAACATGTTGATATCAAATATTATCTCAATTTAAGTTTTTTTAAACAAAATTCACAATACTGGTAAAATAGAAACCAATTAACCGTGGATTTTTATGATATTTAATACGAAGAATGTCGAACAACAAGAACATACCTGATGGTTCTGGTGCGGTTAAACAAACTACCAATATACCAAAGGTCACAGCTATACTTAGGATCGTAGGCAATACAAAGATAGGTTTGGTAATTAAATTCATTATTGACCAGTAACAAGTTTTCCTAGGAAAGCGCAACAACAATCATATTTGATATTAAAAGAAAAAGTCATACATAGTCTGTCGAATCCTGTAATTTTTTATTTGATCGATGTTGTTGTTGTGAACATTTCTTACATTTCGTGTATTTGAAATTTGATTTTCTTCCTTGTTTGCATCGACGAAAACATTGTTCTTATTAAGCGTGTAGTTATACAATTGAACATTATCATTCATAGGAGTCATCTCAATCTATGCGAAGACAGTAGTTAAGAAAGAACACATACCTGACATGAGCATGTAAATATATCTCTAACTACGGAGAGTTTCTACAGAAAACTGTTGCTGTAGTATTTTTGCTTAATTCATTCAGTCGATATACGTACAAGCATACAACTTTTCTATGCAATTTGAATGATTTTGTCAACTATTAAATAAACGTGTTTAATATTATCAGCAAATTGCACAAGATTTTTGACGATAATCTTATACCCGATCAAAACACTTGCGCGAATACTGCAGTATATTAAAACGATTATCCAAGCTACAGTTTCTAATGTTTATCTGACTAACTAATACTTATTTAGTATTTGTTGACCTTTGTCAAAACTAATACATATTATTTTTTCTATTTCCAATTCTTTTGTATGGATATATATCAGGCAAAATTAAATTCAGTTGTTAAAAGATTTGTAAATTTTTAAAACAATATCATAAATCAAAAGAAAAATTAATTGATCTTAATATGCAAACTAAATTACGCTTCGGCTTAATTGAAGTCTAACTGAAATGTACGAAGATAAACATTTTTGTCATTATACTCAACATAAATACACTTTGTCAACGCCTATCCAACCATAAAAAAAAGCAAAAGAAAGGATCATTAAGTTTACGCTTTTTGAAAAATATTTTTTACTAATGTCTACTAATTTCCCAATTTAACGTAGCTCATATATCATATGAAAATTATAAATATATTGTGCTGTTAAGTTTCATTCAATTATTTTCCAACTTCAAAAAATCAAGAATTTTCCAGCTCACACACTGCTTGTGCTAAAATAATAGCTGCTTTTTGGAGATATTCAAAAATTCAAAAATAAAAACTGCTTCGCTTGTTCATGAAAATGTTTTCGAGAATCATTTCACGAAGTCGACGTATAAGTTATTGATGCAATACAACTTCAAGATTAAGTGAAAATGAATAATCTGGCCAGTGATTAAAAAAAACTTGTTAGCACAACCTCTTTGGAACTAAAATGTGGAACTCATATATGCTTTCTAGCCTCATTAAACTAATACAAAACACATCAAGTGGAAAATCTCTCATAGACTATAGTGGTTTTGTAGGATAATCGATCACCAGACTACATTGTTGCTATTCTCTCATTATTTTTCATTTTTTTTTTAAATTCGTTTTTCTTAATTTAATATTCTTATTATTATAATCATAAAATTGATTGACAAAAAAAAGTCTATTTTACATATCTATGATAGTTATAGTAGATCTTACGAATTATTATATATATTAATTAACTCACAAATAAT